TTTTCAAATAAACAAAACATCAGCTTCCTGCTTAGAATATCAGATTCAACAGGGAATATTTATAGTTCTGATGCAGACATGTCAGGATTAACCGCCAGAGTTACTTCCTGGCGTTTGCCTGCAAAAATAAGAGAGAGGCTGGAAATGCTTCTGCTGAATTCTGATAAGAATATTATATCTGCAATGTAAATAAATGTGCAGGTGTTTGAACTGAGAATGACTGCCTGTTTTAAAGTTGGATTTGTATTACGAGATAAAATTTTCTCGTATTTGTTAAATACAGTAAAGGGAAGTTATCTGAAAAATAATAAAGAATTTTTATTTTTTTTTTAATATTTATTTTTAAAATATATGTTAGAGTATACCCTACAGTTATTGGACACTATTACAGAAAATTTTAACTTTAAAAATTCGTAATTCGCATTGTTATCTGTAGATTGAATTGAAATTTATACAAAAATAGTCTAAACAGTTTATTACAATATGTATAAAAGGATTTAAAGAAAGTGTTAAAGCTTTTTTAGAATATATACTTATTTATTAAAAATAGTTGCACAAATTATAGTTATTGGATTATTAAGTTTAGTTATTGGACAACTGCTTTAACACAATAAAAAGAAATAAATAAAAATTACAAGAAAAACCAAAGATTTATACAGTTGACACAATTAAATTTTATAATTGTTTCTGTGCTTCATTTTATTGAGTGAAAAATTCGTCAATGTCTTCATCCTCACTGTCTTGGTTACTGTTATTAGCATCGGAATCACTATCCTGCAGATGGAAGCAGTTGTGACATATAAATAGATCACCATCGTTAGGTATATGCTGTCTATGCTTAACATTCGTAATAATAAAGACTACAGTTATCGTATTTTAATTTAAATCATTTGAACAAATGATATTGTATGTATTGATCGATTGTATATCATTTGAACAAATAGAACATTTGACTTTTGTTAATTATTTTTGTTGCTACACTGGTTTTAGGTTAATTTTTCTTATCTTTTCTTTTCCTCTCTTGTTTTTGTTTTTCCTGCTGTTCTTTTAACTCCTCCCTTTTTTGTAAGATTTCTTGATATCGTGAAGAAGTAATTGCAAAAGGAAGTCGTTCCGTGTTACGATTATTTTTTCTTTCCTATACAGTAGGAGAAGCTAAATAATTACCCAACAATCCGTGTTTAACAATAATTTTACTTGTAGAGGGTAAGTCATGAATATTAGTTTTATATTGTTAAATATGGTACTACTACTCTCAAAAACATTTACATTTTCAATGTCATTTTGTTCTGATGTTTTTATTTTAGTATTTTTAACGGGAGATGTGATAGCTATATTTTGAATAATATTAATGTTTTTGTCTCCATTTCTTAGAACCATTGGGTTATCCGAATGTTTTGGATCATGTTCAAAAAAATTCCAATTTTTGAACAACAAATTTAAATTATCGTCGCTAGGTAGCTTATTCTTTGGATTTTCGTTTAAATTCTCTAAGCTATGAACTTTTTGAAGACCTAAGATATTTACAAAAGTATTAAAGTCCATCTTGGGTTTCTTTTGATGATCTAAAAAGATTAAATTCTTTACTACTTCTTTACCTACACATTTTGTGTAGTTAATAGCATCTGCTTTAAATGGAAACAATCCGCAAACCATGAAACCATTTACTACTGCTTCAGTTTTACATCTTTTTTGTAGCTTGCTCTAGTATAGTAGCAAATACAATTTTACTCACTACCTCTCCTGGATGCTGTTCTTCCCACTCTCTCACTGACTGCCACCAAACTTCTTTTAGTGGACGGAAAATAGAAACGTCACACGGTTGTCAAATCCCTGTGGCATAAGGATAAAGTGCAATTACTTCAATCTGCAGTTCATTACACAATAGACTTAATTGGTAACTTAAGTGACTCTTGTGCCCATCTACAGAAAGAATAACTGGAAGCTTAATATTATTAGATGGGGGTAAAAAAATACTAATAGAATGTCTCTGCTGTCATCCAACCATTATCGCTTCTGCCCACACCCATTTAGGATTATTGCCTTTAGCAACTTTTTCCGGAATACTTTCATAAGGAGAAATAATCATTCTTCTTCTTTTTACGGTGCCTATCCGTTCCGGATGTTGGTGATCAACATGGCTGTCCTAAATATGCTGCTATTCTGAATAGTCACCTTCTCAGGTTTTGAAGCCAATATATTCTGCTTCTCCCTGGTCCTCTCTTTCCAAATACCTTGCCCTGAAGAAGCCGTATCTCTGTTCATTCCTCATAACATGGCCAATATATTCTAGTTTGCGCTCTTTGATGGTGTTAATAATTTTGCATTCCTTGCCTATTCTACGTAGGACCTCAACATTAGTCTTAAAATACGTCTGTAACACCACATCTCGAATGTCTCGAGTTTTCCTAAAGAACCTTTGGAAAGTGTCCAGGCCTCTACTCCGTATAATAACATAGAAAATACATAGCATCTAATGAGAGAGATTTTGGTAGAAAGTGGTAAATCGTGACTTCTGAAAAGAGACTTCATCATTATGAACGCTGATCTCGCTTTTCCTATGCGTTGTTTTATTTCACTGGAGTGATCCCCTTGGCTGTTAATGTTGGTACCAAGGTATGTGTAGCTGTCCACTCTGTCAATTAGATGTTGGTTAACCAAAAGCTGTGTATTTAATATTTAATTTATTATTAATGTATTTAATATTTTTCACAGTTAACAGTGGTTTGCCTTGGTTATCTGCCAAACACCCAACTCTTCTAGGTTTGTATAAGCCTGCGGCTTCTTTAACTTTTTTGTGCATATTAAATGAATCTTGTTTATATTGCAATTGTTGTATTTCCGCACACTATTTTCTTAGATGTGTATCCTTAGCTATTCTAGTAGCTTTTTTGATCTTTTTATCGATTCTTTTGTATAATGACATGTCTAGATCTTTGAACTTTCGCCTCTCTTCCATCATATCTAGAATCTCATTTGTCATCCACTACTTCTTCTTTATTTTTGGTGGTTTGAGAAATTTCTCTCGTATGTCTTTTGAAACTGTATGTAACTTTTCTAGCTCCTGTTCCATTACATCCGATTGAATAACGGTATTCAAATTGTTCTGTATATACCGCTTTACACGATATTCTGTGTGTTGGTCTTTTAATAGCTTGATGTCGAATTTTGGATTGACACTACGTCTAAGCTTCTTTAGCCTGAGCCTAATTTTGCCAATCAGTGGGTTATGGCTGTTCTGGAATCTTTTATTAATCAGAATGTAATCTATTTGATTTCTCACTATGCGGCCTGGAGTATCTTGAGGTGATTTCCATGTACATAATCTTCTGTGTGGGACGTTTGAAGTAAGTGTTAGTAATCACAAACTCTTCTTCTGCTACAAATTCACCCAGTCGGTCTCCTCGCTCATTTCTTTCTCCAAGTGAATTTTCCCGATTGTCCCCTACCAATTTTAGCATTTTGGCATAAGTAATCATAGGCACGCAAATTTTACCGTGTGCTGAAAACGTAAGCATCACAGTGGCGTTTATTTTTGAACAGCTTTTTTCAACATTATAAATATTTTTTGTACCTTTTATAGCAAATACTTTTCCAGTTGATAGACATATTTGAAATCCTGACATATCTCTATTAAAGATTCTTAATGGATCAGTTAGAACTTCTTCTAGATGTTCTTTTAACATAGTTTTCAATATTTTTAAACCAGCTTTTGATGTCTTTTTCAGATACACAAGCGCTAGCTGCGGTCACACCTTCACTTGTCCTTTTAGTTTAAGGTAGAGGTTTAGAAACCTCTGGATGTCGCTTTAAAAATCCCTAAAAAAATTAAACGAGAAATGCAGATTAAAATACATTTTTTTGGCGACTTACTTTTAACCATCCATCTCCAGGTCGATAAATTTATTTAACGAACCTAACCAGAGTATTCTCCTCCTCGCAAGTAAAAATATGAGACGGTCCAAGTGTACCTTTATGTTCCGGATGTTTTAATTTAAATTCTATAGTGGACTTTGGAATTCAATTTTTTTTAGCTGTTCTAAACGATTCAGTACCATTTTGGACATCCTTAACAGCTTTTATCTTATTGTATTTTCTAAGTTTAGGCATTTTACTACAATCCTAAGAAATCAATTTAGTGATTGGACGGTCAAATTTAAGTTCAGTTTTAAGTTCAGTTAATAAGTTGTAAACGAGGTTTTTCAAAATTAAAATGATTAATGAACATACTTCGATCATCGATGACAAATGAAAATCTGGAGGATGTTTTTCGCTCAAAATTCCAGTCACCAATTTATCTAAAGAATTTTGGATGCAATTATTATCTGGCATAAATCTAATTTAAATTTGTCTTTATCCTTGTGTTAGTACTTCACACAGAGATAATTAGAGTAACTTAAAGGAATTTACGAAGTATTTTTCCAAATTACGTTCTTTGCTTTTCGGCATACGTAACAGAACTTAACTCTGATACAGTATTTATTAACAAAACATATATATACAGACTGTAGAACTGATAATTATTTATTAAACAAAGGAAAAAGGTTAGGAATTTCCCAATAGTTAAGCCTCAAGTATCGATCAGTTACATTTTCCTAGAAATCTATTATAAACAAAACATTTACATTTTAGAATGAACCCAAAATTTTATTATAGAAAGACTTTAATATTAGTATAAATAATATCATGTATAGTAGCATACAATTAAAAAAATTTGGTTGATTTGATTGATGATAAAGGAAACAATAAAAAAAATTATCAAAAATTTGATTTACGCAAATACCTACATTCTTCGTACATAGACCTCATTTCATATGTAGACGTTGAATAAAGATCCAATATTGGCTGAACTCGTAAAATAATAATTTATGTTTAAGCTTTACAATCTCGACATTGAAAGTTAACTACTTTCCAAGTTTTATGTTTACACCCATCTTTCGTTCGCTTGAAACGGAAATAGTGCTGCCACCTATATCACGTATGTTTTACTGTTGTTGCAGAGGATCGAGGTGACACCTGTTACTGTTGCTGTAAGCCCGAAAGAAATAAAGGTCATCAAATGCAACGGCGTCGGGAGTTGTAAGAAAAAAGAAATGTATACACTTCAGCCTGATTATCTATCACATATCGTTGTTATCAGTAAGTATATTGATTATCAATTATTTATTGTTTTACTTTCTTTTTACTGCAGTTGTAAAATTTGGTTATTTTTTTATTGGAAAAAAAGTCGCATCTACCAAAAGGTCGTTAACGACGGAACAAAAGATAAATAACAAAATTGAATAACTACAGATTATAGAAAATATTTAAAAATCTTAGATATGTAATTACGGATGGATTAAACTAGCCTTTGATAAATGGCGCTACTTGATACCGAATTGGTTTCGGTCTTGACATTTGCCATTCATGACATGGCGTCTGTCAAAATTTTAAGTTTTAAAAACAATTAGTTTGGTTTTAACAACCGTCAAAAGCAAGCAAATTTTAAGTTTTCGGAGAAATGGAAAAAGTTAACTATCGTTCGGTAAATAAGTTTCCCACAAAAAGGGTAAAACTAATGTGCAAATCAAAGCCGATCTGGACGAAGTTTACGGTGAGGTTGCACCTTCGTTAGCAACAGTACAATTTTGAAAAGCTAAATTTGTTCGTGGTCGTACGAGTGTTTTTGATGATGAGCGTCCCGGGAGGCCAAATGAAGTCACCAAGCCGGAAATGTCCATGACATGATTATGGCAGATCATCGAATTAAGCGTCGCGAGTTAATAGAGGTCCTTAAAATTTCCTACAAATGCGTACACAACATTATTCACCATCAATTGGACATAAAAAAGCTATCCACGCGATGAGTGCCGCGTTTGCTGACAATTAATCAAATGCAAAGACGTGTAACAACTTCGGAGACGCTTTTGGTGATGATACGGCACAATCCGAAGGATTTTTTTGCCGATTTATTACAGTTGATAAAATTTGGGTGCATTATTATTATACACCGGAAGCCGAAGAACAGTCGAAACAGAAGAAGACAAAGAGTGCACATTTGGCCGGCAAAGTGATGGCGAGTGTTTTCTGGGATGCGAAGGGCATCATCCACATCGACTACTTGGAAAAAGGAAAAACAATCAATGGTGAGTACTACGCAGATATTGGATCGATTTGATGCCGAATTGCGTCGAAAACGCCACAGTTTGGAACGCAAAAAAGTGCTCTCTCACCCAGACGATCAACCGGCTCACCGATCGGCCAACTCCATGGCAAAATTACACGGATTGGGCTATGAACTGGTTAAACATCCACCGTATTCCCCAGATCTTGCCGTCAGCGATTTTTTCCTGTTTCCAAACTTAAAAAAATGGCGCGGGGGACGCCGGTTTGCAACAAATGATGAAGTCGTCGTTGAAACTTCGGCCTATTTTGAAGAGCTCGAGTAAAAGTACTATTCGGATGAGATAAAAAAAATTTAAAACATTGTCTAATTAAGTGTAGAAACAATCATGACCTAGACCTTCTGCTAGAGAGTTCGAGATATTGTAACGATATCTTTCTTGCTCATATTTACCACAATTTATTAAAAAGTGTTCAGCTGTTAATCGAACGTGACACTGATCAGATATAGGTAGGTTATTCTTTATGAAAAGGTAAGAGTGTGTTAACTTAGTATGTCCTAAACGTAGACGCTCAAGCACAATTTGTTCACGCTCGTTAAGGGACGATGGAATCCACTGGGAAACAATACTCTTGATCTTATTCAGCTTAGAATTAGTTTGAGACCACTCATTTTGCCACAACAATTTATTTTTAAAATAAGCTTCTAAGTCACTGGAAACACACTTTCTGTAGGCTCCGAATAATCGCTAATATATAATAATAAAATGGGATGCTACATAAAACACAAGATAAACAAACCATACTGGTGAGATAACAGAATAAAGGAAGACATAAAAAGAAAACTACACCTACTATATTTAAGCTCCAAATCATTACAAGACAAAATAAAATATAAAGAAAAACTAGCAGAAGTACGAAGAAAAATCTCTAAGAAGAAGAACGGGTCTTGGGAAAGAAACTGCCAACGAATAAATAATTATCTAGGAGGAACCAAAAGCACAAAAAGCTGAAAACTGGTCAAAAAATTGAGAAAAGAAAAGAATAAAGAATTCATATTTTTATTTTTGCTAGTACTAGTTTGTGTTCACTCTCTGAGTCTGTTGAGTTTAAAGTTCGATATCTAGAATCTGCTTCCGATTGGCTATAAAATCAATTATACATTTTTGCCCCCTGGAGTTTTCAGATGTATATTTATACTGTAGCTGATGGTTGAAAAATTGGTATTATTGATTCTCAGTTCGTTAAAACCACAGATGATGTAATTTTTTATAATAAATTGTAATAACTATTTATTTACTATCAGAAGCGTTCATTCGAGTATTAAGAAGTGATATATATCTACGAACTTGTTACGCTACCACAACCACGATCGAGAATGATGTTTACGATAGGTACCAAAAATTTTGACTGAAGCACACAAAAATTAAGGCATCGTGACTTTTTTGGGTGTTATGAATGTGACGATTATTTAAGAGAAATTATTTATACAGTGCTTTTCAGATAAAACTATCCACCTTAAATTACTTTTGAACCTCTGGTTTTTTTGGAAAAACGCAAAAACACGTCAATTAATATTTGAACCAGGAGACGTTATATCATATTAAAGGTTGCTGGGAAATGTACCCTTTCACCCCCGGTATCAACCCTTTATTTTTTTAAATTACTTCCACCTTTTTTTATTTTATATTTAGATTCTCCTTTTTGTTTTGATTTTAAAAATGTATAATATCTTTGGCTTGAAGTGATTAGTTTATGAGTAGACAATTTTCCTGTTAACAAGGATGGTATCTCTCTCACCTTAAATGACTGTAACAAAATAGGTTGTAGCACAATTTAAACTTTTTAATTATTTAACCTTACTATTAGTAGTACCTTCAAAAACCAAAAAATAAAAAAATTCACTTTTTATTAAAGTTTTATCAAAGGTTAAGGATAACCTTTCCGAAGATTTGGTTGCATTTCAACATGATGGAGCTTTCCACACTTTGCTTTACCTGTGCGATAGTTTATAAACGAAACGTTTCTTGGTCCTTGAATAGGGTGAAGACGATAGATGATCGATTAACCACCTAGGTCACCGGATTGAACACCCATAGACTTCTTCTTTAAAGGGTATTTAAAAACAAAAATTTATGCTACTCAACCAGAATCTCTAGATGACATACGACAAAGAATAGAGGATGAATGTCGACACTTAAATGCAGACGTTGTTAAGCAATGTCAGAGAAGAATTCCAAAATAGATTATACTATTGTATTGAAGTGAAGGGCAGTCATTTTGAACAATTATTGTAAAAATTTTTAGTAGTGAAATTTTCATTCTAAATATGTGTAATTAAATTGTTAAAAAATAATTTTTTTTCAATCCAATTTTCTTGCTTTTGTATTTATTTTTCTCATAAACTAATCACTTAAAGCATCATGTATTATACATTTCTGAAATCTGTACAAAGAGGAAAATTCAAACATCGAATAAAAAAGGGGAAAATAATTAAAAAAAAAATAAAGGGATGGTACCAGGGGTGAAAGGGTGCATTTCCCAGCAACCTTAAATATGATATAATATCTCCCCTTTCAAATATTAATTAAAGTGTTTTTGTATTTTTTCCTAAAATTTAGAAGTTCAAAAGTTATTTAAGGTGGATAGTTATATCTGAAAAGAACTGTATATATACCCGGTATTTAGGCGGCACACGCCCTTCCGGTAGGGATCTATGGAGGAGTATCACCGAGCCGCAAGCCATTTTGTTTTCTGTACACCGAGCTGGGAATTGAACTGACATCTCTCGCATTGAAGCGAAGGGGAAGCCGCCCAGTCCGCTAGGCAATCCGATCCGAGGGAAATTATTTCAAGTGATAAAACATGGGTGGCATAAGCTACAATCAAAGCAAAAAACAGCAATCCATGGAATGAAGATATTTAATATTATTTCCAAAAAAATAAATTTAAACAGAAAATTGGAATCTATAAGCCCATATATACCATACCATTCTGGGATAGAAAAGGGTTGTTATCTCTGTGATATAGCTGCCTTCTTATACTAAAACTACTGGTAATGAAGGAGCATATAATTTTGTCAAAGAAGCTACCAACCGCAGTACTGTAATAACTATAGTTTAACTAACTAATGATCCCAAAAATTAGTTTTCATAAACTCAGTAGAGATTACCTGGCAAAACTTATGGTAAAAGAGTAAAACAACTTGGCATGAAATCTAACCATTTATTGGTTATCTCTCCCTGGACTTAAAATAATAGAAGGGAAACATCGATTATTAGAAAATTTACCACACCACCCTTACCCATGATTTCTTGATATCCTTAGGAAGTTGTCCAACTTATCACCATACCAATATTTACTTGACCATCTAAACATTCTCGCTGATTTCAAACAAATCACCAACCTGTATAAAATATTGGACTTGAAACCTACTATTAAGGAAATTTTTCAACAACCCTACAAAGATCATAAAAACTATACAGTTTCTGAAAACCGCCCAACTTTACTAAAAGATTTAACCTAATAGTTAAAGTGATATAATTATTATTTATTTTCTGTATTTAATATATAATATGTAATGTTATTGTTCCTGTACCAATGGCCATAGTTGTCGACGCGAAAATGAATATATAAACAATTGTTGATAATAATTTTTCTGTATTTTCATTTTTAAATATATTTCCATACATCGTCATCTGACAAAATTTTATTATTTTTTTACAGATCAACAAATACCAGATAGGAACTGTTCTGGGTGTGAGTCGTGTTGTATGGACTACGAAGGATGGTTACAGTTCCAGCAAGGATTATATCAGATTGTCAAGGATCCTCTGTTTGAACTTGCCATAACAGTCTGCATTGTACTTAATACGATGTTTCTCGCCATGGAACATCATGGGATGAGCGAATCGATACTAAAAGCATTAGATATAGGCAATAAAGTGAGCATTTTTTGTACTCATAGATCTATAAAAGTTAAAATATAATATAATCAGTGAAAATATCACCAAAAGAAATTAAACCTTTATCACTTTACGTTTTAAAACCTCATATAAGCACCATCATCATTTTCAAAACATTCTAATCCTCATTTCAATTATGACCGATGCCTCTCTTTCTCTCTCTCTCTCTCTCTCTTGTTGTTTCCGCATTACTGAGGTTCGTGATTTCTTTCAATGTTCCTCACAATTTTTCTCTATTGGACTTTATCTTCAGCTGCTGTGAGCGCTTCGAAAAATGAGTTTCCAGCTGAAATCTTAATTTGGTCGAACCGTGTAGTTGGTGATCGACCTCTTGATCTTTTCTCCGGAACGTTCCCAGAAACAAATAATCTCTCCAAACTATCGTCATCTGAACCACATGATCAAAAAATTGCAGAATAGGTTGCAGACATATTGTGGACAGCCTTTTTTTAATCTCGTGTTGAATTAGAATGGAAAAATTTGTCCTATGAGTTATGAATCCAAGTTATGCGCAGCATTCTTCTCCAGCGCCGCATCTTAAAGGCATAATTTTTTTAGCCTAGAGTCCAAGTCTCTGACCCTTATAAAAATATTAAGAATACAAGGGGATTTATCAGTCTTATCTTGAGAGATAGATCTGCCTTTCCAAACGTTAGATAGGCGACTCATCGCATTTTTTGCCATATCAATAGGTCTCCGAACTCCAAACTAACGATGGTAACTTGACAATTACCATCATATGACTTACTTTATACTGTTTGTCTACTTCATTTTTATTATTTTTTTCCTTTTGTATAGCGCTTTTCAGTTCTTGATACCTCTGTTCTTTGAATTCTTCTTAATAATATATTTTTGTACGTCTGGGCCATAGTTAAGACCAGTTGGTTATGGTTATCCTTCTTAACGTATCTGAATGTGATCAATCAAGGAGAAGTGACTTCATATATTTGGCTTTCAAAATTGGCAAAATTTTCCACACTTAAGTTTTTTTTATTTTAGCAGTTCTCATAATCTTTATGTCGAATTTCAGAACGCCTTCCTACTCTGTTGTATTAGGTGTTACTGGTTTTTATAGCACATGAGAAGCCATATTTAAACATACGCATCACTGCACAATCTGTTTTTTCTTTTATTATTTTCATTTTTAGATGTAGACCGTTGTAATGTAATAAAAAATAATTTATGTACCACTTTACAATAGCAAAACAACGCAATTTTGTTGTTTAATCACGTTTTCCTGCTTATATAAAGTCTAATTTGCAATTCCATAAAAATATAGGCACTAATATAGCGCTTGTTGATGGTTAAATATGGAAAGAATGCGAAAAAGAAAGAAATTGTGTAACTGGCTCATAGATGCCGCAAGTAAAAACTTTTTTCTATTAAATAGCTGCACCAAATCTTCGACGCTGGATTAGTTTTTTTGTCAAAAGGTGGTCACCAACTTAAGAAAATTTGGAAAACACTGCTTTGAAGGGTACATAACTCATTTTAAATAACATAATTTGAGGTTTTCTTTACCGTATTTCAGAATTTAAATTACCACATTTTAATATAATATGCCAATGACGATATTGGATTAAGCTCTCAATCTGTTTTTATCTTTAAACATTTTTTTTTTTGGAAATCATCCAGGTATTATTTATTTTTCAGGTTTTTACTTCCATATTTACTTTCGAGTGTTGTCTCAAGATAATGGCGTTAAGTAAGGACTTCTTTCACTGTGGCTGGAATATTTTTGATCTGATCATCGTATCTGCTAGTCTGCTTGACTTGATATTCGAATTAGTTGATGGACTGTCGGTTCTTAGAGGTCTTCGTTTGGTAAGTGCATATTTTATATTTATATAAAAAATCTTTGGTACTTAGAAGAAAAATTAAAAAAAAATTGACATTTTTAACTTAAGGGTCTGAATATTAATTTAAATTTCGGTACTAATAGAATATTCATGTAATACTAAAATGTAATAGATGAACTTAAGTGTGTTACGAGCTTTTTGTCGGATCAACACTCGATCCGGCAAGAAGCGGGTGTGACTTATCAACACTTAATCATGGTACAGTTCGGTCTCATATCAACACTTTAAGACTGGCTACTACTAGATCAGCACTCCAGCAGAAGCAGTCGGTCTTTGGTAAATACCCTAGGGCCAAAAGATTATTTATGCACGCAAATAAAAAAAATATTTTGTGTGATATTTAAAATCATTTACAAAAATTGATATAAGAAAACATTCTGGGTCGAAAATACCCTTGATATGCATTCAATGGTTAAAGGAAAAGAGTATTAGCTATATCTAAAGATACCTAAAAATTCAGTTAATCAGTAATTCAGTAAAATCATAAAATTCCGGCCTTCGACTTGTTAAAATCACCAGCCATGAGCAGCATTCAATATAAAAAACCTAATTAATTATTAACTATCCCTCTACCACAATTTTACAATCATTACCTTAGTCCAACCCTTGATAACCCTTCCTATTCCAGTTCAAATTCCCCTCCTTTAGAAAAACAGACAGTTTTAAAATAGTAAGGAACAAAGACTCTAACACTCTAATGCGGCACTAACAAACTGTTTGAACGATTAACCTGGTGTATAAACCAATATCTAAACGGTGCACCAGTCCCGCATGAGTGGAAAGTATCCTTCATATCATCTATACATAAGAAGGGAAGTAAACTGGACTGCTCAAACTATCGAGGTATATCAGTAACCAGTACCTTAAGTCGCCTATATGGAAGAATACTTCGAGATATTATCGAACAAGAATATAAGGAACAAGAAAAGAGGAACAATCTGGCTTTATAGCGGGAAAGAGCTGCACCTATAATGTGTTTGTTTTGAAACAAATAATAGAAAAAAGATCAAGTACCAACCAAGAAACCTACCTTATGTTTATAGACCTTCAGAAGGCCTATGATACTGTAGCCGCTAAAAAGCTATGGAAAGTTTTGCAGGAAACAAACATTAACCACACAGTAATTAACGCCCTTAAACAGCTTTATGAAGGATCAACGTCGGGAATAAAAATTGGAAATAGACTTTCAAAAAAATTTCCTGTAAACAAGGGACTCCGGCAGGGGTGTTGCATATCCCCCACATTGTTTAAAATCTACGTGGCGAAAGCCTGTGTCAGTGGAAGAGAAAGTGCAGAGGAATGGGCATTGACCTGGGAGAAACTTGCCTATATACCCTACAGTTTGCAGACGATCAAGTCCTTATAGCCAACGATAAAGAAGACCTGACATATATGGCCAGAAAACTACAGGAAGAATACAAAAAGTGAGGTTTAGAACTCAATACACAAAAAACAAAAAACCGCGAGTGAAAGCCCGTCAATACCGCGGTGTGGAGCAAAAATATTGGTAAGACTTTGTATAAACTTAATTTGCTTAATAACTTTAAAGGTAAATAACAGTTTACTTCAGGTCATTTTCATTTTATAACTTTAAAAAATTTACTTATTGAAACTAGTGTCGTATCAAAAAGTGTTGTAGGTTGTATGAAACGAAAAGTAATAAAAACATTGATATCTTTTTAAAATAGATCTGTTTATACGGTTTTACCAACTTAGTATTTTTAATCAATTAAATTGTTTTGAATCTTATATACCTACTGAAAATAAAATTTATTTTTTTTTCCTTTTATCATTTGAATTTTATTAATGCCAGCTGTATTTACATGTTCATTAGCCTCTCTTGTCTGCTCTTATTACATTTAAAGGAATGTAAGAGAGTTTGTTTACAGTTCCTCGTTATAATGTCTTGTTATGTATAGGAGGATAAAAGCTTTCAATTTCCCTCTAAATGTTTTGCATATTAAATTTATAAAACGTTTCGAGTTTTTTAATATACGGGAATGTGGATGTTTGCATCTCGAGGTTACTGTTCAAAGGTATATATTTTATTCCAAAATATCTAATTATTAGTAAATTTAGATTGAATAAAAGCTGCATATTCAGGATATTAAAGTTTTTTATTATTTTTTTTTATTCATATATGGGCGAACCCATCTTACTTCTTCTTATTGCGCCGTCTCGTTTCGAAAGTTCATGATTCAAATGGTAATTGAAGCTTTGGAATTTGCTGTACGAAAGATTTCTGTGGATTAGCAGTCAAACCATGTCTTCAGATCTTTTAGTCTCGAATTCTTTACATTAAAAATTCATACCTCTTACCTCCCAACATATACCCCAAGTATTACATTTTCTTCTCTTTGATTATGCAGAGTACTTCACCTTTGGTAACTTTTTGTACTCGTGGAATTCTTAGCATTGGTCTGTATATATATAGTCCGGCTAGAAAATATGCGGAAAAAAGAAAGCAAAATTATAATTTTACGGTATTTATTTATATCACTTGAAATATAAAATTTCAAAAAATAATTTATCTTATTTACTTATACAACCTCTATTTAAATCTAAACACTTAACTAAACGTCCAGTTTTACCCAAAACTAGTTCAAGGCCATAATTTTCAGTAATGGTGTTCCAGGTCTGCAAAACTGACCGAATCAAAGCTTCTTTATCTCGTGGCGTTACTCGTTCCACTTCAATCTTCATCAGTCCTGATATGTTTTCAGTGGGGCTAAGATCTGGAGATGCTGCTGGCCACGGAATTGTTGCCAATTCCTGTTCTTGCATCAACTAAGCTTGAGTATAATTAGAAGTATAAAATCCACAAGGAAAAAATTCCTGTAGCTGGCTGTATACCACGTATCACAAAAAAGAGGTTAGTCTTCGTAAATGGGTATATTTATTTAAAAAACCCTTAAAAGGGCTACATCAATTAGACAAACGTTTTCGGACCACACAGTCCATCATCAGGTTTTAAAATCGAAAAAATGCCTAAAAATAAGTATAAACCATTTAGTTAAAACAAACGTGATTATGAAATTTTGACTATGGTTGAAAAGCAAAAGATGGTTATACTTACTAGGTCACAATGCCTGAGCCACCAAAATACTAGGGTAAAAACCC